TTTACTGCGGAACTTGATGAATGGACTCCAAATTTGATATCATTACCATAAAATTGTGATGGAACTTCTAGCTATTTGAATGCTACTAGTTAGTCTAATTAATATGTGTTATTATTTAATTGTTGTGCTGAAGAGTTTCCTTTGTGAAGAATTTAATTATTATGTACTATAGTTGAACAGAGAACAAATTCTGGCATTTCCATTCCCCAAAAGCAATCCATCAGAATCAGTGTTATGATTTACAGCTTGGTTCTTTTGCATTCATCTATAAAAAAAAAAACATACTTGGTTTATAAGTGTGACTTGATATCTGTAATATAAGCTTTGGTTAAATATAATTGGAATCTGAATCTTTGAAAAGTATACTTATAACAGATGCAGAATTGGAGTACTTGTATCTGCGAGCTAAAGAGGAAATTTATTCCAAAGACAAGCAGTTATGCCTTGCTTGGATGTGTTTAGACGTTCAATTGCTATACTTTGGACATTACATTAGCTAGGTTAATCTCCAAATGGGCAAGTTACATATTTAGCCGGTCGGCCAAAAATAATTACATCCAGTAGCTAAATATACACTGATTATATATTAATATACAAAAAAGATATATTTTTTGACTCTTATTTTTGGGAGTGGCTATATAGTGTAGCTTCCCGAAATTTTGCTAGAAACAGAAGTTGGAGGATTGAATTATGATGTTACCTTAGTTCTTGGATGAACCTTTATTTGGACGTAAAAATTATATGGGGTAGCCACTATTTAAAGTGGTATTTACTTTTTATCCCGCATTTTTAATGTTGAGCAAATGTAGCCACTAATTCATTAAAATTAATATGAAAGGACGTTGTTACCCTTTTCTTCCCAAACGGAAATACAGTGGTACCTGGGCCTGGATCAACAACATCCATTAACCCGAATGAGGTTCCTGCTCTATCCCATTAAAACTGTAAAACCCAAAACTTTCCTCTGTATCACATAGACCCTCCCTTCTGTTTCCCCATACTTCATATTTTCGAGTCGTTGAAAACTGTTTCCTTTGAAACTGATACTCCAAATGATTCTTCCGATAAATCCAGCAAATAAATTATCCTTTAAACGCTGCATTAAAGATGGAGATTTAGTAATTCTATACGAAAGACATGATACAATGAAAGCAGTAAAGTCAGTGAGGATGATGTTCTGCAAAATCGTTTGGTGCATCCAATTCAAAAGTTAAGGACACTTCTTCCTGAACTTAGAGATCAAAAGTTAAGGACACTTGGTTCTGAACTTAGACTAACAAGCTCAGAAGTTAAGGAAAATAGGTCCTGAACTTAGGCTAAGAAGCCCAAAAGTTAAGGACAATAGGTCCTGAACTTAGACTAACAAGCTCAAAAGTTAAGGATACTTGGTCCTGAACTTGCAGTTACAAATTCAAAAATTAAGGACACTTGGTCCTGAACTTAGACTAACAAGCTCAAAAGTTAAGGACAATAGGTCCTCAACTTAGACTTCCAAGTTCAAAAGTTAAGGACAAGTAGTCCTTAACTTAGAGTTACAAGCACAGAACTTAAGGACAGGTGATCCTGAACTTCGAGTTCCAAGTTCAAAAGTTAAGGACATATAGTCCTGAAGTCCTGAACTTAGAGTTGCAAGTTCAAAAGTTAAGGACATGTAGCCCTGAAGTCCTGAACTTAGAGTTGCAAGTTCAAAAGTTAAGGACACTTGTCCTGAACTTTTATGAGCAGAAGGGTGTTTTCTTCCGGGCAAGTAAAGGTTATTAAAGCGATGGCTAAAGACTAAAGACATTTTAAACATTAACTTAAAAGTAAAACATGTATTATTAGTGGCTAACCGTGCACTTCCCCCTATTTGGACAACCTAATATCAGACTGGCTAAAGCCTGTTTTTCCAACAAATTAAGAAAAGCCAATTGGGCTAGAATCCGTTATAATGAGGCTTTCTCTATGGGCCAGCAAATTTATTTTGTTTGGGCCACATAATGTCACAAACCAATGACCAACTGGACGTGAGTAATTTTTCTCTTTCACATGTCCTTAATTCTAGGAAACTACCAGCTATATCCATTTATAAGTAATTTATTATAAAAATTGGTCAATTTATGAAACATTAGTAATATTAGCCAAATATTATCAATATTAGCCGATTAGCTATTTGTAACTAGAAAAGGTCAAAATTTTATTTTTTATGGAGTGGTGTTATTAGAATAGATTGGGTACATCTTAAGGAGCTTGAATCTCAGTTTTGGGATGATTTGGTATAGTTTTGAGGTGGTTAGAATTGAAAATTCGAAGTAGAAGATGAACATGAAAAAATGATATGTATCACACTGCGTATCATTCGTATATCACATATATATCGTATTTGTATCAAATATGTATCACATGTATATCCATGTATACATGTGTGTGAGATACATGCGTGATACATGTGTCGCAAAAGAATTTTTTGAACTTGATTTTAAGTATATTGATACAAAATCAGTCCAAATCACCTCCAATCTTCCTCAATTTTTGTATATTGACTCATCTATATGTTTTCAATGAATTTCAACCATACCCATTGAAAAATATCATTTTTGCTTACATTTTTGGTATATATATTCTTATATTTTATCACTTTATTTGTTACCTCATCCATGAAATTTTCTTTCCGTCTTGCATCTAATGTTGCTGATCACGCTTAAAAATATGAAAGGAGATCTTTGCGTGTGATTCTTGGAGAGAAAGAACCTTATTTATTTGAATTCTTAATTTTATATGTACTTGACTAAATTTAGTAAATCTAAGATTAATGCTTAGATGTTGGTAAGTTGCAACGTTATTTGGGACATCACCCTTAATTCTATCCTTGTCTTTTTCACGTTAAAACGTGAGGAGATATCTCCTTCTCCTTATACAAGGCTTTTCTTTTCAAGGCGAAAAAAACATGGTTAAGGGCGTGTTTGGCATGAAGGAGAATATTTTTCAATTTGCTCATGTTTGGCTGGCTTATATATTTTAAAAAATATTTTTCTCATGAACTCATTTTCCTCCAATTTTATTTTCTCTTATCAAGAGAAGGGAAAATATTTTTCTTTTCATGATATAGAAAAAGTATTTTCATTCATTTCAAGAAAATGAGTTTTTTTTTTTCTTTTCATGATGTAGAAAAAATATTTTTCTTTTCATTTCAACAAAATTAGTACTTTATTTTCATGTTATAGAAAGAATACTTTCTTTTTCAACCAAAAAAGAGTTTTTTTTTGTTATGGAGCACAAATTTCAACGTTATTTTTGCATAAAAAAATAAAAAAATAAAGTTGCAAATTAGTTCCTTTGGGTTTGTTTGAATATTTATAAGAATAATTAAATTCTTGAAGAAAACAAAGTTCTTAAAACATTGGGTATTTGGAGGGGGGGATGGGGGGATTGATGTTTGCTTATAATTATGGGTCCGGCTCTGCTCCAATACTTTTGGCTCCAACAAAAATCAATACATATGTAGATGGGTGACATGTGTCCATCTAACTATAAAGGGTGAGATTGCTTTTTAATTTATTTTTGTATTTTTGCCTATTCTCCATCTTCTGCGGACCCGAACAAGAAGTAATTGTTCGGCGCCAATATTTCCCTCCAAAAGCTTCTTTACCTAATACACCTATCAAAAGTAGTAATAATATCAAGCCTACAAACAAACAACTTCTACCATTGACAAAGCAAAAGGCTGCTGCCAGGTTTTGTCTTCTTCTATATTTAAATATATTTTTCTAATTGTTTATTTCAATTGAACTTGATTACAAAGCACATAGACATGGTAAATTTTAATCGAACACTGTCACTTAGGGCAATGTGATCAGCTTTTCTAAAAAAAAAAAAATCTGTATTTAGACAATTTTGAAATTATTTTTTTAAGAACTATAATCATTGGGTGAATGCTTATTTGTTTAGTGAGTAGTTCTAATTTTCAATTTGGATATATTATTCTATAAGTATTTATATATATATATATTTTTTATTCATAAGTTCGGTATTATAAACAACAAAATACTAACCTATAATTTGTTTCTTTTGAAGCATAATGGAAAACGTTGATAAATCGGAAGAAGTTTTACCAAATAAACCTCAAGTGTATATCGATTTTGAGCCTAAACTCGGGATTGAATTTGAGAGTGATGATTCTGCAATTAATTTTTATAACGAGTACGCAAGAAGGATTGGTTTTAGTACTCGTAAAAAATATGTGAACACAAATAAGAAACTGGGATATGTAACGTCAAGAAAAATTACATGCTTCAAAGAGGGTTTTCGCGGAGATGATAAACGAAGAACACAAGTTAAAAATCCACGGAGAGTAACTAGAATTGGATGTCAAGCTCATGTTGTTATTACACGTCAACCTTCCGGAAAATATCGAATTAGTAAGGTTGACGTAGAACACAATCATTCACTTCTCCCACCATCAATCGTTCACATGTTGCCATCTCATAGAAAAATAAATAAGGTACAAGCTCATGAAATCGATTTGGCGGAAGATGCTGGATTGATGTCTAAAGCAACCTTTGATTTCATGAGTCTTCAAGCGGGTGGTCGAGAAAGTTTGGGTTACACTACGCAAGATCAAAAGAATTATCTTCGAACGAAAAGGCAAAAAGCTATGAAAGAAGGCGAAGCAGGTAATACATTTTCTATAATGTACTATAATCTTCGTAGTTATATTACAATTCTGAAGCTTATTTTATTAGTTTGGAAGATACACAGATTTATTTTTCTTGTTTTTTCTTCTTCTGCATTCAGGTGCACTATTAAAGTATTTTGAGAAGAAGAGAATTGAAGATCCATCTTTCTTTTTTGCGGTGCAGTTAGATGTTGATGATATGATCACAAATATATTTTGGGCAGATTCGAAGATGATCATGGACTATGAGATTTTTGGAGATGTGCTCTCGTTTGATACTACTTAACAAACAAATAAGGAATATAGGCCCCTTGCTAGCTTTGTGGGATGAAATAACCATAGAAAAATGGTAATTTTTGGAGGTGCACTGATGTATGATGAGACTGCTGAATCTTTTCAGTGGTTGTTTGAAACATTTTTCAGAGCGATGTCCAGAAAAAAACCATGTGCAATTTTCACAGATCAAGTTCCTGCTATGAGTAAGGCTATTTCAATTGTCATGCCTGAAGTTCATCATAGATTATGTGTTTGGCACATGGAGCAAAATGCAGCTAAACATCTCAATCAAGTATATAAAAGGTATGCATCTTTTCGTGGTGATTTTAGAAAATGCATTTACGAATATGAGGATGAAGAAGAATTTATAGATGCATGGAATAATATGCTTGATAGATATAGTCTTCGCGAAAATAAATGGTTGCAAGGAATATATGCATTGAGGGAAAAATTATTTGCAGCATACGGAAAGCAAATTTTTTCAGGTGGTATGAACAGCACACAATTGAGTGAGAGCCTGAACAGTGATTTAAAAGATTATTTACAGTCAGACTATAATCTAGTGCAATTTTTCAAGCATTATGATCGCGCCATTGAGGATAAAAGGTATAATGAGCTACAGGATACTTGTGATGCATCACAACGATTACCGGTGTTAAAAGTAGATGTACCTATTCTGGCTCATGCTAGGGAGGTATATACACCAAATATTTTTGAAAAATTTCAAGATGAATATATGAGATCTTTGTCAATTAGAGTGAATGAATGTGAAAGAAATAATTCATTTATCATGTATATGGTTAGCAAACATGGGCACACTCGAGAGCGTATTGTCAAGGTGGGAGAGGTGGGCGATACAATATCTTGTTCTTGCAAGAAGTTTGAGTCCATAGGTATACTTTGTCGTCATATTATAAAGATTCTTGACGTGGTAAGAGGAGATACAAGAATTCCATCAGAGTACATATTGAAAAGGTGGATGAAAAATGCAAAGGTTGATAACATAAGGGAAATTGATGGGCAAGACATAGAAAAAGATCCGAAATTGATGCGAATGAACCACTATAAATTCCTTTGTCCGGTGTTTGTTAGAATAGCATCAAAAGCTTCTGAAACAGATGAAGTTTTTAAGTTAGCTGTGACATACGCAAATGAGCTGAGTTCGAACGTGGAACAAGTTATGAAGGTTGCAAGTCCATCTAGTGATAGCCAGGTAAGGAGCGCACAAGAAGAATATAATAACAAGGAAGTCCTAACAAGGGCCAAAAATTAAAAGGAAAAGATGGGTTGCATCATACAAAAGGGAGGATGAAAACTTCTCTTGAGTTGAAATCAAAGCAGAAGAAAGCTCGGGGAAAGAAGTCGACTAACCAAAACGAATCCACACAAATTTATGATAGTACTGGACTTGATAATGCAAGTCATTTCACTCAGGTATATCTTACTTGTTTTTTTAAACTCAATAGTTGAATAATAGATAGGTAATTATTTATTTATCTATTTATTTTCTTATTTTATCAGTTTTTTTATTTACTCATTTGTTTATGTTGGTAGGATTCAACATCTAATAGAAGCATTATTTGCAATTCTAATATAAGTGTCACTCCAACTATCGCTGATACAAGCTCATCTCAACACTCAGAGTTATCTTCTCTTTCGATGGCATATCCTAGTTTTACTCAAATGTTGACGGTAAAATTAAGACACTTTTTATTAGATGTAAATAATTTCTCCCAAGCAAATTATTATTTTATTGACCTTATTTTTTATGTGTACAGGTGCCTATGGGTTTCAATGCTTTTCAACATTTACAAAGTTCTTGTACTTTTCCTCATGATTAGGTTAATGTTTAGTTAAATCTCTTTTCTAGTTTTCATAATAGATTCATTTTAATATTATTATATTAAATTTTTATATATTTGACAGGCCAACAATTCGAGAAGTCAAGAATCGCAGCTGTTTCAAGATTATAATGTGCTTTGATCTATTCCGAGATTGTTTACTCGTCGAACTGTGTGTTTTTTTGTAGTTGATATTTTGATACATTATTTCAAGAATCTGATTGTGTCAATTGTGAATCCTCTCACCAACTGACTATTACTTTGAGTATGAAAAAACATGTACCTAGTGCACTGATTTTGACTATTACTGATTTTCTACATATAAAAAGCTAACCAATTTTAATTCTATTAAACAATTAATTTATATATATGATTTTTTTATAAAAATACAATATACTGGATAACTTTTTGCTATGTGACACTCTTTGCTATGTTTGTGCTTTTTTTGGAAGGGAATGATTGCTTTTGATATTAGCATGAGATAAGTACATTAGAAGAGTAAAAAAAAATTTGGCGGGGGCTTCTTTCTTGAAGAAGACAAACCTGGTAGCAGCCTTTTGCTTTGTCAATGGTAGAAGTTGTCTGTTTGTAGGCTTGGTACTATTACTACTTTTGATAGGTGTATTAGGTAAAGAAGCTTTTGGAGGAAAATATTGGCGCCGAACAATTACTTCTTGTTCGGGTCCGCAGAAGATGGAGAATAGCCAAAATACAAGAATAAATTAAAAAGCAATCTTAGCCCTTTATAGTTATATGGACACATGTCATCCATCTACATGTGTATTGATGTTTATTGGAGCTAAAAGTAATGGAGCAGAGCCGGACCCATTAATTATGTATTTTTAGTGCATTACTTACCTTGCATTTAGGTGCTTTAATGTTAAACTATACTATATTTGTTCTTAATTGAGTCTATTATATGTGTAGGTACGTTGTAAACGAAATTGAAAGCAAAGTAGACATTTTATGTGTATTTTATGCACTACAAGAAAGGCTCGTGATTATTTGATGATGAAAAATATTATAATGAGATAATGAAACAATGACCGAAGATAAAAGAAAACAAAAAAAAAAACAAGGCAAACTTATTGAGAAATGAAGAAAGAATTGAGAAAGACAGCAGGAGTTAGGCAGCAACATGAAAGAAACGAAGCAAGAGTCTGGCTACGCGAGAGATTTAGCTCGCAACAGAGCTCGCGCCGCGAGGCCTGAGCCGAGGTGGACTGTGAGTTTTGCCTCGCGACGCGAGGCCTATAGCGAGCATATTTCGGATTTTTAAAGTCTATTTGTTTCTTGTTTGATTTTGAATTTGGTTATTTCGTCTAGGTCTTTTCCCTACACATATAAATAGTTATTAAACACTATTTTTAGGAGGAGAGACCGAGATTGAACATACTTGGAAAAGAGACCGGGAGATTAGGACCTAAGGAGGCAAGAACACATTAGGAGCAAGGCGGAGAATTCTTCAACGGGGTTTTTCAACGGGGTTTTCACTTCCTTCTTCCTATTTCTATTATTGGCTATGAATTCTAGTATTATAGTTATGCATACTATTATGAATAGCTAATTTGTTATCTAGAGTTTTGATAGAACCTTTTGTAGGATAAGTTCTTGTTATGTTTTTATATAATTGAGCCGTAACTTTTCTCTATTTGTTTAACTACGTTTATATTGTGGTTGGTTGAAGAGCTCTCAATCGGCTGTGCCTATTTAGTGTTTATTACTCGGAAGAGAATGCATATTTAGGTAGTTGTTGAACAACATCACTCCTAACGTATTTGAGGGATCAATACAGAGGGTTTAAAGGTGAGATTAGGAATAACGAAACCTTGGTACGATCCGAGTGAGCAGTAATATAGTGCAGCTAGCGTAGTTCGAAAGAATATGTCTAGTAAATTGTGGTGGTTACTCGGGAGAGAATTACGACAATCAGAGTGCTCATGATCGGTAGAGAATACTTAGACAAAATTTTAGAAGACGTAGCGAGAAGGATTCTGACAATTGGGAAAATAATAACTCTAGATCTCCTTAATCTTTTCTCCAACCTGTAGTATCTTTAGTTCTTAATCTACTACTTTAATTATTTAGTTAATTAAATATAAGAATCATAATATTTATAACTTAGGAATTGTTCGAGCTTATCTTCTCAGTGATTGTCACAACTGTAGCTAAGTCTTAGTTCTCTGTGGGATTCGACTCCGGACTTGTAAACCGGATTATATTTGCAACGACCGCTTAGTCCTTTTTATAAGGCATAGTTGGGCGTGATCAAATTTTAGCGTTGTTGCCAAGGGACTAACGGTGTAGCTGTAGGTGTACATATTGCTAGGTTGCAAGTTTGAACTATTATTTTTGTTTTCTTGTAATTGATTTTTTTTATTTTACTTGTTGATTTTAGAAACATGACATTTTAGAATTATGAGAATTTTGATGTTGGTAATTCTACTTTTGATCCTCCTTATGCATATTGTGGAGGACACCACCCATTGCAAAATTATCAAAATATTTCCAAGAACGATTTATGTGCACCAACTCAATCTTATGTATGGAATGCGTCTGATATGTGTGGTGGTCAAGATGATCACTTTCATGATTGTGCTTATATGTCTTATCCTCCCCCAACACCTTACTATGATGGTTCTACTTTCTCTGGTGAAGTTAATAGGAACAATGAACCCAGGGAAGCTAACCTGAAGGAGATCAAAGATATGTTAAAGTGCCTTATGAAATGAAATCATGAGAAACAATTGCAAATACAAAGGCTATGTGATACTATCCAAAGGCAAAAAGGCGTCTATTCATAACCTGGGGGCACAAGCGAGTCAATTAGTTGAAGCATTAATGCTCAACAAGCTGATATTGTGGATAGTAGCCAAAAGGAGCATGCATTAGACGCACAAATTGAGGTACCAATAGAGGGGTCCATAATAGAACACCAACAATCAATCAAACTAGAATTTGATGATGCCGATATTGTTGAAGAGATACTAGAGTCAACCAAGGACATTGAGAATGCATATTTAGTTGACTCTAGTGTCATTAGTGTTGAGGATGTAGACAGTCCCAATGTTCATGTAGTTGAGCGTATTGGTCCACCCTCCAAGTATTTTTCCACATTGTGTTTGGATGATGATATAGAAATAGAGTCATCCGAGCCACTTGAAGAGTCAAGGAATAAGGAACAAGGTGCCAACATTTTTGAAATCTTCTTGCCAGAAAGTCGGGATTACACACCTCATCTAAAGGTCAAGAAGTGCAGAATACTACATTGTTTTATTAGGCCAGTCAGATTCGTTCCACCACCCCAGGAGTCTGATCGTAAGCTTGAATCAAAACATGGGGTCCAATTCATAAGTTTTAAGTGGAGGCAGAAAGTGATTCACGTCGTGCTGCGACGTTAAATCAAGCGCTTGTTGGGAGGCAACCCAACTTTACTACTTTCTTTTATTTTTTATTTTTAAATTTATTATGTTTGTAGTGTTGATTTTTCATTTTCTAGGAGCATGGAAAGCAAAGCTATTGGAAGGATGCAACAGCAAACCAGATGGTTGGAACTAAGTGTGAGGTACCCGCACGAAGGACCAGGCCTAAGAAAAGTCTGAGTACCCCATGAGCTGCTAGTGCTTCGGCCTTTGGCCTACCACGGAGTTTCTTTTACCCTCTTATTAGTTATGATGTGCATTGGTGACACTACACAATTTTAAGTGTAGGGTGAGGAGATTGTCCGGGTAACTTTCTACGTTACTTTAGTTGTGTTAGTTTAATTGAATAATGTTTTTTTAAAAGATAGGACTTTTCCCGACGATAGATCTATTAGACAATTTTCTTGAGCTACTTAAGACTAAAGAAAAAAGGACAAAAAGATTTTCTTTGTAGGTAGTGTAGTAATTCCCCCTTGGTTTTTCTTTGTGCCACGGTTCTTTTCCAAGGGTTTTGCTTGAACCGGGTGTAGATAGGTTATCTTAGAGTATGAGCCATGGTGAATTGAATTGAAGCAATACCTCTTGACTTTGTTATGCCTTGAGAATAGTGAGTACTTTGGTTGTGACGCTTAGGCTCAGTTTTGACTCTTGTATAAGTATCTTAAATTGTATAATCTTAAATTTGCTTAACTGCTTTGACTAGAGTGTCTTGATGAATCAAATCCTGAGTCAGTTATGTGCCATGTGTGTGCGAAGTTTGGGTGCTATTTTGTGCATTGCATTTGATGCCTAGAACTAGCACCGTGTGTTTGCAAAGCAAAATAGTAGTTTTGCTCAGTCTTGGAAATGATATAGGCGTTTCTTTGTTGAGCCAGATATGTATATCTTATCTGCCTAATTATTATGTATTGTAGTTAACCTCTTTGAGCCTGTAATCCTGTTTCATTGGCAATCACATTACAAGCCTTACCCATTTGTTTGAATTAACCATCTATTTGAACCTGCTAACCTCTCATGAGCACTTGAATTGTTATGAAATTTGTAAAGGTTAAAGTGTGGGGTGGTTGGTTTGGCATTGAGTGGAACTAATAAAATAAGAAGAAAGGTGCACTGTTTTGAAAAAGTAAGAGCCACTTGAATTGAAAAAGAAAGAAAAAAAAAAATAATTGTGTTGCTATGAAAAAAAAAATTATTCCTTGATAAGTGGTGACTCTTGATGTAATTGTGCTTAAAGAAGTATGGAGCTGATATATATTGATGTGAAGGTGGAGTTATGGTTTGACATAAGTATGGATTTGAATGTTAAAGTATATGTATTAAAGTTCTTAGGGAGCTGTAGTCACTCTTATATCCAAATGTATCCTATCCGACTCGCAGCCTACATTATAACCAATTAAAATCCTACTTGCTTGTAGACTGAATGAGCTCGATTAGTAGAGTAGTACACTACGGGCAAGCCTATGGTGCATCTTTTGTGGCATATGAATGTTATTTCTGAGAGTGAGTGATTCTTTCTATCTTGAGTTCCTAAGTGTTGTTAAATTTTATTGTGTGTGGAACTACTTTCTTTTTGTTGTG